AGAGAGAGAGAGAGAGAGAGAGAGAGAGAGAGAGAGAGAGAGAGAGAGAGGGAGGGAGAGAACACGTGCACAGGTCTGTATCTTTTGCAACTGTGAGCCACAAACAAATCCTTCCTCCCTCGAGTTGCTTTTGTCAATCAGTGAGGTAAGTAACCAACCAGTCCAGCACATTACAAGCACAGTGTCACTCATGACACAGCCTCCAGGACTACAGACACGACAAAGGCATGCAGCACCAAGTCCCAGAGATGCCCACCATGGCTGTGCCACTCAGTAGAGCCACGATAGGAATGGGAAACACTCAGTAAAGCTGACTCGGTTTTTCCACTGCAAGCCCAGGTGCATGTCAAATGAGAGAGCGCATGCACACCCCCAAATGCACGCTCTGTAATGCTCACGGAGGTGCCATTTGCAATAACCCAAGTTAAAAGTCCCTCACCTCGCTTCTCATTGGGTGAATACACCACACATCATGGGTGAAATCACTAAATGCCATGATGTGGGTCAATTCTCGGGCATTAGCGAAAGAATTAGGACTTTAAAGATATATGTTATATGCTTTTATTATATGAAGTGCAGTAATGAGTCATGTGTCGGCTAGAAGTTAGGATGGTGGCTCAATGAATGGAATAGCCAAGATGCTGACGCTGAAGAGAAAATCATGTCTCCCAATCTGGGTGCTTGCTAGGTGGATGTGTTTATTGTGTAAAAAGTACTATACTGTTTGTTTGTTTGTTTGTTTGTTTGTTTGTTGAGGCTGAGTCTCACTGTATAGCCCAGGCTGACCTCAAGCTCGTGATCTCCTGCCTCAGCCTCCTGAGTGCTAAGATTATAGGTGTGCTCCTCCACCATACACAGCTATGCTGTACACTTAAGTACACTATTGTGTGCCTCTAAAACATGTCAATCAAAAGTGTAATTAACAAGGGTCCACAAGCAGCAACCAAGTAAGTGTGCCTTTGTCCCGTCTCCCACCCAACCCAGGGCTCCAGCCAGCTAGTGTGGTGGTCCTGCCCAGATCCCTAGCACCAGCCTTTGAGAGCTTCTGCCAGGGCAACCGTGGTCCTCTGCCCCTACTTGGCCAAAGTGAGGTGGAGAAGACCCTACCCCAGCTGAACACTGTTCCAGGCATAAGGTAAGAAGCCTGTGCACGGTAGTTGTAAGCAAGGGAAGATCCCGCAGCTGGGATGCTGTTACCAGGTACACGTTGGCCCCGCCTTGGGGACCACACAGGTCCTGGAATGGAACCTCACAGGACCACTGCTCAGGGGCAAACTACCCTCTCTACCTTTTCTACTTCATACCCTCTCCTCCAATCTCACACTTGCCATTACCCCTGCCCCTGCCCCTGCCCCTGCCCCTGCCCCTGTCCCTGCCCCAAGCCTGGAGAAATTGTATGGGCTACATCTTAGTTTCATTTCCTTTGGCACGATAAAATACCCTGACAAAAGCAACTAAGGGGGAAAGGGCTTGTTTTAGCTCAGGATTACCGGGGGAGGGGGGAAATCGAGGTAACAGGAACTTGAAACAGCCAGTAACATTATAACCATAGTCAAAAGAAGAGGTCAGGTTTTGTCGTTGTCATTGCTTTTTGATTGTTTTGCTTTGTATTGTTTTGTTTTTTTGATATAGGATCTTATTATGTACCTTTAGTTGGCTTGGAATGAACCATGTAGACTAGGTTGGCCTTGAACTCACAGAGATCTGCCTGCCTCTGCTGCCTGGGATTAAAGGTGTGCACTAACCGTGCTTGGCCCAAGAGCAATACAGGAATGCATGAATACCAGTGCTCAGCTCTCCTGTTCCCTCCACCCATACAGTTCAGGATCCCCTTGCCTAGGGAATGGTGCCACCCACAGGAGAGGCATCTTCCCACTTCAATCAATACAATCTCCCAAAGACATTCTTACAGGCCAGCCTGAGACTCTCTTCCCCTGTGATTCTAAAGAGTGTCAAACTGACGATTAAAATTAACCATGGCAGGCACTGCCACCTGTCACTTTATCACTCATACCAGAAAGCCCTTGCACAGGATTAAAAAGGGCAATGTTCGAACCACTAACCCCCAGAGGAAAATACCATTCATATTGTGCATGTTGGCCCACAGCAGACGTCCTCTTAGCTCCTGTTCATACTCCACAGTTTCAGTTACAGACGGGTGACCAATGCCTAAAAATAATGCATGGGAAATTCCAGGAATAAATAACTCAATGTTTTAAATAACTTTTATCATAGTATATAATTATAATCACTATGTATCTCTGACTTACAAAGGAAATGTGAGGTGTAGAAATACAGGGGACAATGACATATACGGGGGTTGGGGCTACCCAGTGTCAGGTATCCACGGGGGATGCTAGATGTATTTCCACACATAAGGGATGAGCATTGCGTACCAAGTCTCATAGGTGGCCCTGGGACCCCTGCCTCTTTGCCTCTCCACTATGCCCTAGCTTCGTAGTTACAGCTCCCATCGTCTCTGACCTAGGGTGTAAGACACTGTGGCTCTCCTTGTCTTCCTCCTGCTCTCTCCTCCATCTGTGGCCATCTTCTGCTCACCCACAAAAAATGGCTTTTTTCTAAGTCTGCATCTGATCATGTGAGTCTACAATTTAAAAGTCCCCAAGGCCAGCCAACCCGTGGCCTGTGCCTTAGCCCCATCTCAAGACTAGTGGTGGCCCGGCCCCAGCTCAGCTTCTTCCTGATACTCAGGTCACCTCCCAGGTCTCTTCCCAGACAGGCTTCCCATTATCATTCTGTAGACACAGAGTGAGGGGCTCCTCAAAAAAATGCTACTCGGGCCTGACCTGGTATTTCCTGTGCTGCCAGCTTGGAGCTTCCTGGTGCAGACCTCCCATGGTTCATATACTCAGTGCCTCCACACTTAGCACACTCTACCTGGGCGTGCTTTCCTCCTCGTCCAGCCTGTAAGCTCCTAGTTATGCCTCAAGACCCAACACCTCCCCCTTCATGGGTTATAGCATTCCAACACTATGAGAAAAGACCCAAGGCACACATCTTAGAGAAGGAAAAGGTTGTTTGGTTTGCTGGACTTGAGGTTTCAGTCTATGGTTGACTGGCTATAGCTTGGGCCTGTGGCCAGGCAGCACATCTTAGCAGGGGCTGTGGAGTGGAGCCAAGCTGCTCAGGAAACAGAGAGAGGATGAAGAAGTAACATCCTCGTTTTAAAGGGGATGTCATCAATGACCTAACTTCCTCTCACTAGTTCCCACCTCTTAGAGGTCCATACCTGCCGCCACCACCACCACAGGCTGGGATGGTGCATTCAGTCCACGGGCCTCTGGGGACACTCGAGAACCCAAGTAGATCAGTAGAAGAGGAGGGCATCTGTGTTTTTCCACTATCCAGACACTTGCTGCTCCTTGTCGCTGGTGCCTGAAGGTGGAGTCACACCCTGGCCGTCCCTACAACCCCATCCCCTGGCACATGGCTGGAAAGGAGGAATAACCTAGCAAATGATTTTGGGGTGAGCAGAGGTGAGGCTTGTACTAAGTGAGGCTCTCAACGTCTCAGGAGAGGTCACCAGAGTCTGTCTGGGTCTAACAGCATCCCTCTGTGGCAGAAAGTCCATCATTGTTTTACTCTTGTGGGTCTGACTGAGCTCACGCTGAGGTTCAGGAACTGGAATGGGGTGGGACCCCCAGGTTATGTTATGCACACATTGATCCAGTGGCTTTGGTTGGGCCATGCTCCAAGAACACCAGCAAAGCCCCCAAGTGAAAACCAAGTGCCCCAGTGTAGAGTTCCAGACATGTCAGCGTCAGAGAGTCCCTCTACTGCCCTTTTAATAAGCGTGATATTGGCTGAGTGGGCATGGTGGTGCACACGCACACCTTTGTTCACAGCACTGGGAAGGCAGAGGCAGGTGAAGCTCCTTGAGTTTGAGGTCAAGCCTAGTCTACAGAGCAAGTTCCAGGACAGCCAGGGCTGTTACACAGGGAAACCCTGTCTCAAAAAACAAACAAACAAAAACAAAAAAAAAGCACACCAGGGGCCTGTGAGCATCGCTTTGTGTCCCTAGGAGCATCTGTCCACAGTTTGAGAAATACGAGTTTGGCGCCTGCACAGGCCTCCTGACCTCGCTGGAAGAGTACTCAGAGCAGCTAAAGGACATGGTTACCTTCATCATGGACTGCAGCTTCTCCATAGACGAGGCCTTGGAACAGGCAGGGATCCCCAGAAGAGACCTAACAGGTCCCAGCCACGCAGGAGCATACAAGGTAAGGCCATACCCCTGGGTTTGAAAATGTGGACGGACTTTGTAGTTTCCCGTGGCGGAGAAAACGTCGGTTCAGGAAGCAGGAACCCTCAGCTCAGCTCTGGCCCAGTCACTCCCAGGTAAAGCCAGTAGCCTCTGAGTCAGCCTTTCGCCTGCCCTCCTCCGATATGGCTGTGCAGTGTCAAAGTCATCTGGCGTGTGGGTGCGGGTGCACATGCATGTATACATGAGTGTATGTTCGGGCGGCCAACTGGTGTTCTTCAGGAGCAGTACGCTCTGTTTTCTGTTCAGTTACGTTTATTCGGAGAAGGGGTGACTTGGGTAGTGCAGTGCGTGTATGGAGACTGGAGGATGGACAGCTTAAGGGAATCAGTTTTCTCCTTCCACCATGTGGGGCTTGAGAATCAAACTCAGGTCACCACTCGTGGCAGCAAGTGCCTTTGCCTGCTGAGTCATTTCACCACCACCACCCCCCCCCCCCCCCCCCCCCCCCCGCTGTGGTTTTGGAGACAAGGCCTCTTCACTGATTAAAGGTAGGCTCGTGGCCAGAGAGCCCTGAGGATGCTTTCGTCTCTATCTCCCGGTGCTAGAATTACAAGCACGGGGTGTCACCAAGCCCAGTTTTGATGTGAGCACAGAGGATTAATGGCAGAAGGATGGCCTCTCCTGGGACACGCCTGCTGTTAGGGACTGTCCCTGCTGAGTAGATGTGCTTTTCTTCCTGCTGAAACCAGTCCTTCCCCCTCTGCCTCCTTCCTAGATGCTGTTGGGGCAAGTCTGAGTGTTCACTCTGCCAGATCAGGACCAGCCTCCAGGCCTCCCTGTCCACAGTGGCTGGACATTTTCATCTTGAGCACTGTTTGTCACAGTGTCCCCCCCTTGGCTCCTGCCAGAGAGACCTGGATTGCATCCGGTCAGAAACAGTATTGTCCCAGTTCTGCACTACCCTTCAAGGTACAAGAGATTAGATTGATGTAATTGGGAAGAGTGAGGACAGAGCCCAGAGCCTTGGCCACTGGCTGGGGCTCACTGTTATTTGTAGCAGGTACAAGTTGGAATAGCCTCAGGCTCAGCATCACCGTTCCTCATTTGAAATAAAGAAAATAAGATCTAGAGAGTTCGAGATGGGGACCTGCCGGAGTCCCAGAACCACACTCTTGGCTGGTGTGGTAACTGAGGAAAGTTTTGCACAGAGGCACAGGTGTCTGTAAATGTTCACCAAAGCCTGCCAATTAACCATGACATGTCACTGCCCCCTCTCCCCATGGCTACCATACAGCTTTGTCTGTAACAACCCACTCCACTGCCCTCAGGCCCTGAGAGAGGTGGCTATTATAGCCACCTTGAATTAGACTGATGGCCTGGATAGATGGCCCGCCCTAAACAGAGGTGTCTCCGTCCCCAGGATCCCTGCCTGGCTTTGTGAGTGGCCTACATGTGCCTTTGCTCTGTGCCAGGTGCTGTCATACAGACACCGGGCTGGCAGAACAGCAGAGTGTCGTCTTACGGTCGCCAGGGTGGTAACAGCAAGCCAGCTAAGTGGCAGCCAAGGTTGTCCCAGTGGATCATGATCCTGGGTGTGTTCTAAACATGTCGTAAGCCCCACTGCAGGGGGAGAAGAAGTGTACCACCAGTGAAAATCACCCAGGTTGCCCTATGCAGAGTCTTCGAAGGGGAGACTGGGTCATCTGGGGACAAGCTCATCTCCTGTGGGATCTAGAAGTGGAGCAGGCAGCGGCTGTTCCTGTGGTTGTCTGCTCACTTTTGCCTGATTCTGTCAGAACTTTGCAGTCTTCTTGAGGTCCATGGAGAACATTCAGAGGCCCATGAAACTGGGTGGAGAAATCGTGTGTGTGTGTGTGTGTGTGTGTGTGTGTGTGTGTGTGTGTGTGTGATAAACCTCAGCTAAAAGTTAACATTTCCTTTGGTTCTGAATGTTGGCGACAAAGGGCTATTGGATCAATACATCCTGGAATGCTGAGGCTGATAAAGTATCTCACAAAGAGCTTAACACAGTACAGTTCTCAGATCTCAAAAACACCCTATACACTGGTACTCCAGTAGCCCATCTGCCATTTTGTCCTCTAGCTGATAATGGGAAAGTGTACTGTTTCCGGGGCGCTGATAACTCCGTTTGAACATTTGAAATAGCATTGGTTTCCTTTGAGATGTTTAACTTTCTTCTCTTCCCCTCACCTCTTTGTTGCCCCGCCTATGTGTTTGTTTTAAGGCAGGTTCTCACTGTGTCACCAGGATCACTTCAAAACTTCCCTTGTAGTCAAGGCTCAACCTTCCGATCACCTTAGCCTCCCAAGTGCTGGGACTATGGGCAACATGCCATCTTAAAGTCTCTTGTATGTGGTTAAAACATTACTCTGTCCAGCTTAGAAGATGTGTCAGACTGCCAAAGTGATGTTGATAGATTAAAAAAGAAAAAAAAAATGAATAGGACCTCCCCTGTCACCCCACCCCAATTTTGAGTCACTCACTGTCAACCTGGCTGCAACAGCTCCTGGGGTCTCTTGCTTCGTGCTGCTTCTTGGACTGGGGGTGCTGGGACTTGAATCTGAGTTGATTCCTGTATTTTCTCCCTACATTTTCACTATCAGACAACGGTGCCATGTGGCACGATTGCTGGCTTCTGCTGCCCTCTGGTGGTCACAATGAGACCCATTCCCAAGGACAAGCTGGAAAGGCTGTTGCAGGCTGCTCACTCCATGGGAGGATGGCAAGGACAACCCATCCACATTGGTGACCCAGGTCAGCGTCCACCCAGCATGGGCCTAAGAAGCACACAGGCGCTTGTGCTGTTCTCAGGGGAGTCTCAGGGGTGAGTGACTGGAGCAAAGCCCAGAGGTCCAGTACATCTTGAGGATTTGTGATACATACACAACTCCTATAAGTATCCCTGGATTTGGGGATCAGTAGGTTACAGTGGGACTCTTTGCTTCAGGTTGTCCATGACCATATGTATCTCTCTCTCTCTCTCTCTCTCTCTCTCTCTCTCTCTCTCTCTCTCT